TGAATGATGAGGAAAAGATACAGAGTCACTTAATATCTATTTATAAACAATTTCTTCTCTAGACTATGGAACTGACAATTCTCTGCAAGCAAGATAATGTGGCAGAAAGATTCAGAAGACTTGAGCTGCAACCCCAGCTCTATCTGGCTTGTTTCCTGATATAGTCTCATTCTGTGAGATTATTGAAAATAATGAAATAAGAAAAGATATGGAAAAAGAATCTGTAAAATCAATCCAAAGGATTATATTAATCCAATGCCCCAAATCAAGTGGTATTTAAAGACTCACTTACCTCCCAAATTCAGCATGAAATCAACCTTGCTGCTGATCCCAGTCCAATCTTATTCTCTAATTTCAATAACCAGGTTCCTATTCCTTCTCTCTATCCTGGTTCGACTACAAATGGAATGGAATTCCACTCTTGACCTCCTGGTTCCTGCTACCTAGAATTCTGTCCACTGTCTGATACTTCCTATCTTACAGTGTGATCTCTGCCTGTCAAGACCTCTCTGTATTTTTCAGATGCCTCCTCTCCTTCAGTCTTGTAATGAGTCGGCCATTGTCTGCCTCATCTGAACGAACACCAATGTTCAGTTACAGCTATCAGCAACATCACTCAAAATTTCCTGCTGCCAGAGATGATACAAAATTTTACTAAGTTTAGTAAACATGTAAACACAAACAAAAAGAGCCAGATATTTCTTACCTAGTTCCAAACAACTATTTCTAGTTCTACTACCCATTCACTAACTGAAGACCTTATTGTCTAAGGGCCTTATCTAATCAAATGAAACTAAAAATCTCTTCTAATATGCCCAATCACATCTTTATTCAAAAAATTTTGGGCTGGGGAACCAGCAGGTAGCGTAACGGCTATGTCGCTGGACTCCCACGTAGTTGACCGTGGTTCGCGTCCCGGACCCAGTGGCTTAAAACTCACACCGGGTGCATATGCGTGCGTGCCCAAGATCCCGAGAGGAGAAGGGATTGTGGCGTGACCATCCCCCCTGGGGGGTGATTTCTCGCCTTCTGTCTCTATGTCTCTCTCTGTCTGGCAAGCGCACGTGCCCTATAGCAAAAACCTCTATAAAACAAAACAAAACAAAACAAAAAATGCATGTGATTATCTCAAATAAATAATGAATCTGGTTAGATAATGTATACTGTTCAAAAATCCTGAGGCCCAGCAGCTTGAAGAGCATGCTGGGTGTATATGCATACATACCCCAAATCATGACAGAATAAAAAAATGAAGAAGTGAATGAGGTTTGGCCATGCTCCATTGGATGGGTGCTTTCACCCCATCTTTCTCCCTGTCGAGTACATATGCCCTCTGATAAATTAAACAAGTTCTCCCCATGTAGAACACTCTGGTCCTAAACTTAATTTTTTCCAAACCCCAATCAACATAGTACATGAGCTTCTAGATTTTTCTGATTACTTGCACCCTACAGGGCAGCTGTGCCTGCTCAGGGGAAATAATCTATTGATTTACTCAAATGTACTATCTTTACACCAAACTGAGCACTGACAGCTGTCTGGAAGGAGTGACTTTTTCTAATTTGCACAAATGTATCATACTACTACAAATAGCCATTAAAGAGGAACCATACTTTATTCCTGTTTTATGTGTCACATATTAGCTTCTAACTGGTGAAATGAGAATGAATTAATGAAGGAAGACCCATCTCTACTTATGTTTATCAGATACCTCTTCTTTTTTTTTTTTAAGAGAGATTTTTTTTTTTAAGAGGTTTTGGCTATCGGGGCCATGTGCTCATAGGAAACATATCCAGGATCATCCCTGCTATGGTTAGAGTATATGTGTCCTTCTAAAATTCAGATGTTTGAACGCTGGTCCTAGACACTTATTCTTAACATGTGATTATCTCGGGAACCAGCAGTTAGCGTA